TGTGTCAAGTCCCAAGGTAAAAGTTACCAGGAGCTGGGTCACTGGCAGATTTCCAGGAAATGAATGCACGGTTCACCACCATTTCTGGGCTGGCCCTAACTTTCATACCTGGCAAATAAGTGTCTGTTGCATCGTTAAAGCTCTGCCCAATGAGCCTTGTTGACATCATCAAGACTAGCTGTGCTTGACAAAACCAAATTCCCAGTCCCCATGAGCTTGGCTACTATGTTGTTTGTGTAACAGCTCCGGAAATCTCCAAAAGGAAATATATAATAATTTAAGTGAAGATGCGAAATAAAAGGTTAAAATTTACATTTCTTAAACAATAAGTTAAAAGAACTGAATAACATTACGAAATTTATTCTTTAAAAGAAACACGAGAAATAAGGATAACAAATGAAAAATAAAAAATATCTATCATCTACTCGCAATCTTCTTACAGATCGGGCTCTAGAACCTAATTATCTTGATCTGAAATGATTAAATAAAGGATGAGTTATACTAATGCAGTAAGGATATCACATTATATCATCATCACAGAAACAAATGTTGATATAAAATCGAAAACCACTAATGGAGTATAAAATTTAAACCAATACATTTATTAAAAATAAAATCATTTACCGTTCATGTACCATAGTGGAATTTATGAAAACAACCTATAAGAACAATAATACCATACAGATCATAACTTCATGAACAATCGGTAATATAGAACATATCATAATTCATATCCATTAACAATAAACTCAATCATAATTGTTTCTATTTTCACCAGCTTACTAATATCCATGAGAATTCAATAGGGATGTCCCCGCTACACGTGAACCCTTTCTTTTAACAACTTCAATTACATGGCCGTTCCCATACCCCGTCCAGTATGAGCGCCAAAACATTAAACTTCAATACCCCGTCCGATATGAGGGTGAAGCGGGCCGTCCCCATACCCCGTTTGGTATGAGCACCAAATTATCAAGTCTCCATACCCCATTCGGTATGAGACAACGTTTACAGTAGATTCCTTATATACCCGATCCATCCACCATCTCTCAGATATTAGTAAGACTGTCGTTCCATTTGTTTATTTGATCAAACAACTTTCCTGTTTTTCTTTAGTCTCCATTACCAAATCAAATATAATCAAATAAATAAATAAACATGCATCAGGTAATGCAATCATGTCTCAAATTCTAAGTCAAGCAGTAGTCAGGTAAGACAACAATACATGCATTTAAACCATAAAATAGATAAATCAAATACTATCATACTTTTATACTGTAAAATAAATCAACAGAAAACAATTTTCGGTTCGGGATCCATTAACAATCCGTAATTAATTATGCACATTTATTTAATTTTTACAAAATATCGTATTATTATTTATTTGAATTTCAATTCTATGATAGCGAATATGGCGAGGAAATTCTTATTTGATTTGACACCGAAAAGCTAAACGGTTTATTGCGCATACGGGCGATCTCTGAGTTTTCTGAATTTTTCTCCGGGAATTGAAACGCGCTTATAGTACTTACAAATGTTACAAATAAATCTAAAATCAGTCTCATGGCCCACTCGGCCAATTTCAAAAATCCGGCACGGCGGCTCCGCCGTGCTCCGGCGATGGCGTCGTTACCTGCGGCGGTGATTGCCTTGAATCAACCGTTTTCGTCCGAATTCGGCCGATTTTGCATCAATTCCTGCGAGCAAATACGTTAAAGGGACTCAGTTGGCCAAAAAAATACGAAAAACCGAAACTCACCGGCTGCGGGGCTCTCCGATGCGGCGGCTCCTCCGGCTTATGTTGCAGTTGGGTGTTTTGCTTATGTCAACCTATAGAGAAAAAAACGGTGATCACAACGGTAAAAAAATTACGCGAAACGGGAATCGGGAAGGGCCTCATCGGAGACAATTTGTGAAATTTCTTGCGGCGGTGCCGTCGGGTTTCGCCGGTGTTATTCCGGCCAATTGGCCAGTCTTTTCACTCCGATTTGACTATGGGTGAGCTTCAAATTGAATTTCATGCAAAAGGAAAAGTTTTTACCTTTTTTGGCGGTCGAAAAACGTTCCGATGCGGTGGCAGGTGGCGGTGATCAGCTTCCCAGCGGCTGGGTCGTCTTCTCCGGCGAGGGGTTCTGGGGGTTAGGGTTAGGGTTTGGAGCGGATGAGGGTTATTTATACCTATCCATTTTTTATATGGGCCGTCCATCGGGTTTTATTTGAACCGTCCGATCGCGATTAAATAGAGAGTGAATCTAGAACGTTTATCGAAATCCAATATGGACCGTCCATCACGATTCACTCTGGGCCGTCCGATCACTTTGAATCTGGCCGTTCGATTGCGTTTGGGAGGGAGCGCATCCAGGTCGTCCGTGCGCGTAGAAACGGACCTCAGCCGTTCGATCGCGCGCACGCAGATCCCCCGCGTCAGCGCCTCTGCCACTTGGCGTGTCCTGGTTGGTCAGGGCTGCTGACTCAGTGTCTGACGTGGCGAAACTTCTCAAAATTGCGTTTTAACTCTTGTTTTTCGATTTTTCTTTCAAAAATACATTCAGAATCTAAATTTTTACCCATTTTCTTCAAAATTATTTTCAATTAAATCTTTTTTATATTTTATTTTATTTTTTTATTTTAAAGTTAATAAAACAAAATATAATAATACAAAATAAAATTATAAAAATTTATATTTATTAATTTTTAATTCTACCAAAAATAAAATTTTTGGGTGTTACAGTTTGATTAGAACTTGTCACATTTGTTGACCAAACCATGTTGTTATTCCCATCAGACAGCACGAGGTTACCATCGTTCCCAATCGTCGAAACTCCTCTTTGATCAGAAATCGGCAACCCATACAATTGTTTCTGGTTCAATATTGAAATACTTAATACCCAGATATCGAAGATTAGAATTCTGGGGACTAAAGAATTTAAGCTCAAATAATTCATTAGGAGATGCCAAAGTCACAGAGCCACCATCTCTCATTGAATCTCCCTTTGTGATTGTATCAACTCCATGGCAAAACTGAGCAAGAAACAAGTGAAGAAACAAACTGAAAGCAAAACCCAACTGGGTTTTCTTCTTAGCCATTAAACCTTTCACATAAAAAAAACAAAGACTCATGTGAAGATGATAGAAAAGGGGAAAAAAAAAACAAGAAAAACCCGGGAGAAGATAAGAAAAATTGGTAAGAAAAATCTGCGAGTGGTATGTTATTTGAGGAAGAGAAGTAAGACTGGGAAAGTTTTGCAAGTTGAAATGGGTTAGTTTGCTGGAATTCTAAACCACCGAAAAGAATTTGTTTCGATGGGGAAAATCCAGCAAATTGCCTAACGGGGTGTGTCTTTGTTGACTAATCAAAATCTGGAAGAGTTTTAAAAGAAGAAAAACATGGTTTGGTGAGGGAAGGTCAAGAAAATTCATCAAACACATGCAGTTGAAAAATAGCCATGGATTCTTTTATCTCTAAAAGTTAGCAAAAGAGAGAGTTCTCTGAAACTTATTGAAGCTATTCTGGACACTTACAGCCTTCTTACTTTTTACTGTTCATCCCCCTCTCTCCTTCCTCGCTTTGTTGTAACCGGAGAATGGTTTTTCTATAAATATTTTATGATAATTTTTTTTTTAAATTTTTATTATTATTTAATTGTATTTTGTTATTATATTAAATATCAATTACTATAATAAATTAAAAATCAATAATAATAATAATTCATAACAAAAATATAATATAATCTTTAATTAATTAATTAAAAAGTTCTTATTCTTTCAAAGTAAATACTTAAGATTAACATTTTAGCAATTATGATCCAAAAATGGGAAAAGAAAAAATTATGTGTAAAATTTTATAAGCTCGCATTAAATTAAGTTCAATATTTTTATTTTTTATTGTTGAATTTTAATTATAAATACAGTATAAATTAATAGTAATAAATTGACACAAAATTATTAGATAATATAATATTTATTTTATCGAAATTATGATAATTCTGTCATAATAAAATTTAATTTAATTATTATTGAAGTGTTAAAAAATATGTGACTGTCGATTAATAACATGCTTAAAATAGAACAAATTATGTGATTTCAATGAAATTTAAATATTCATGACATTAGTATCTTACAATACTTATTATATGATATAATATGTGAAGTCATAAAAACATATATATATATATATATGTTGAAGATAGATTTGAGTAGTCTTCACATGGAGGCTGAAACTGGCACATGGCTATCAACTTTGACAAATTTGGACCACACCCATGTTGTTGGCCGATATAAATACCATATTGTATTATTAAATTATTATGGTATATAAGACCTTATAGTATAAAATCAATCATACACGTGGAACACATAGATTAATAATTAATTAAAAATAATAATGACAAAAGAAGCAGTTAATGAGTCAATTTTAAGGAGTAGATTTTGGAAGGTGACACGTTTCATTAAATAATTAACCAACGCAGGAAAATCTTAGTGCTTTGGACGCTTTTTGGTCAACCTAATAAATCCTAAATTACACATTACACAATTTTTAATTAAGTAATTAGATTTTAAAATATTATAATTAACCCTTTTTATTTTTACTATTAGGGTTATTTATAATTAAACTTTATGTTATGATTTCTTTATTGAAAATGATGAATTAGGTTAAAACAACTCCTTATAAAATAAGCTTCCATGAGTCATTATATTATATTTATTCATGGGTTT